TGATATCTTGTTTTAAGAGCGCGTTAAATAACTATATAATTATCCATTATAAAAAGTGCTCGCAATAAATTCAAACTGTAAATATTTATATAAATTCTTACAAAAAAATAGTTACCAAAATCAACAATAATGACTTACTTTAGACGGTAAATTAACGTCGGACCCCGTATCACCCAGAGCCAGCGCCGCAGTACTGCTCATTCCACTCGTTGGCAATACGCTCCCGTTTCTCGGCCCCTTAAACCCTGCTCCGCACTGGCAATCCCTCACTGGGCTCGTGCTGGGCCATCTGTACCTTCACAAGATTTGGCGGTATGACGGTTCCCGCGAACCGCGGCTCGAGTGACGGAGGTGATGGACTTCTATTCACCGGTATCCAGCCCGTCGCCTCTTAGCCTCGTCATGTCCTCACCGAACCTGTCCCCACCAAGTACTACCCAGTTCACCAGAATCGCCATCACCCAGCTTCACTGTTTCCACCCCAAATGTTTCACCGGCATTGTTCGATTCGCTCGAGTCACCGCCGCCAAACAACACAGCGACGTACTATTTCCAATAATCACAACCCCAGTACTCGACGCTAGCGGTTCGGGACCCATCATCACCAGATGGAGACCCGGCTGCTGAATCTTTTGCGACTACCCACCCGGATTTCGAATGGCCCACCGCAGGCTCCCTAGCATCCTAAACCTGTCTGGTAAGTAACAACGCTTCCTTATGTTTTTTGTTCTCTTGAGTTTTCTTATGTTTCTTTATACCATACGGGTCCAGATCACCGTCAGGTTTCTTCAAAGATCTCATAACCGAGTACACGTATCACTCATCGGTGAGCTGCATGCCATTAGAGCACGCCTCACACCATGAGACCCAATTACACGGAAAGCGCCTCCGCCTCACTGCATAACTGCTAAGTGATTTGTTTCTGTTTGTTTTGTTATATAAAAATTCATATTTGGTGCACTATCTTTACTTACTTAATCGAGCATTGATTTAAATGCCTAACTGTGCGCCAAAACAGCTGTTGCGTTTGCTCTTACTACCACTGAACAATCTGTTGTTGTTGTCTTGCAACTACATCACTAGATTAATGACAAAATTAACCACTTTACACAGATACGTGGTCGCCAGCATCTTCGGCTTTACGCGGCAAGTTGGACAGGGCACAGCGGAAAGCACTGCGGGCGATTTCTGATTACAAGGAGCGGGTTACACCCGAGCTGTATCAGAAACTGCGTATCCTGCCGGTGTACGACCGTTGGAAGCAGTCTGAAGCGGTTTGGTTGTATAAGATCTACAACCACGAAGCATACCAACCACCGCGATATATGGTCGGGATGATCGACTTCACGGACCTGGGAATGCGGTACAACCTGCGGAACCCGACGAGAATTGGTGCCAATGCGAAGAAGAAGATCGGAGAAGGCACGCTGGCCATGCGACTAAAGAACATCTTTGAGCGCATACAAAATGTTAACATGCAGTTACCCAGTGTTGATGGCGTGGGTTTTTTCAAATTTGCTCTCCGAACTGTTGATCTGTCTTAGAAATTGTTTTCTTATGTGTTTAGTCTTGTGCCGACCAGACGTTGAAGTACCGTTAGCGGGTTGTCTGCTCTTGATGTAATAATAATAATAATAATGTTTTCATTTCTTCATAAATACCTGGAAGCTAATTTTGCTGCCTTTTTTGCAGTTACAGACATTGTTACCATGTCTTTAAATCAAGTAATCGAGAAACCAAAACAGGTAAGATTACGCATAGTAAATTTCATGACCTTTTTTAGTTAAACGATCAACTGGCAATTTTAGTTCTTAAAATATCAGATTTTTCATAGTATTTGTTAGTGAAAATAACACAACAACTGATGCAGTGTTGCACGAATAGTTTTTTAGGGATTATTAAGTGTAAGGAAGCCTTTTCATGTGTTAAGTTTTAGCAATATATTTTTTCATTTACATATACACCGCTGTGTCAAAACCTGTGTCAGAACCTGAAATGTCAAAACCTGAAATGCTCACCGCTGTGTCAAAACCTGAAAGTGACCGTAGGCAACTGGTTTCGAGAGAACAGCCAAGATGATAAAATTGGAAATTTTGCACTGTTCTGGCGAACAGTTTTAACCGTCCATTTCAACGCGATCGTTATTCGTTCCAAGCCGGCTTCAAGGCACATACAAAAACAGTGTACTGTATGGTTCATTTCCGTGTTGGCCGTTCGACAAATGTCGTTGACTGGCTTCCCAAGAAAGTTGGGCGCTATGAAAGGTCTTTATAATTACTGTGTAGCGGGAATTCGTGATGGCGTCTGCACAGATCATGGCACGCACAACTGCGAATATTTATGCCGTGTGATTCTGATTGCAGAGGATACCAAAGATCGTCTTCATGATCAAAAACCATCATCCACTGCAGGCCTGATGCATAACGAATTACCCTGTGTTGTTTAAAAAGGCCGCGCTGGCATCGCAAAATTTGTAGTCTGTTTTTGAACTGTCTGACTATTTTACTGATGTTTTTACATTCTGAAAAACGTCTGCAGCCTCTGTGAGCCACAAGGCGGCAGTTTACCGCAATTTAATTTGCAAGCTAAGCTCACAAACACCGGGGATGCTATTTCGATGAGAAGCAGGTTCCGCCATCTATCCTTCCCGAGTTCGCCAATTTCCAGGGACTGGAAAAGCAGAGCCTGATTGACTGCAACCTGTGATAATTGGAAGGAATGCCACGCCTTCCGAACTTTTGCGTGTTGATATTGGCCGACAACCATCTGTATGACCTGAGCCTTTTGCCCATTTACTTTGAAAATTGTCCATTAAGTTTGGGTTTTGGGATGAACTGGCTTACATCTTCCGAACGCGTCTTCCAAAACCGTCTTACGAAACTGCGGGCGCTCGATGTGGACGCTAATGAGCTTTGAGAGATTCGCGTTCACGATTACAAAACGGCGGCTTCTGCGTCTCTCGTTTTATCATTGCTGCCTATGACGTCGACAGAGACGAGGATGTCATTTCGTGGTTTCTGAGCGGTGAATTGAGAGTTTCATGTTTGTATAGGCGCATTATCAGTACTACATTGTTTACAGATGTAGCCATGGATGCTGCCAGTGAAGATGAAAGGGATTCTCATGTAAGCGGATTTTTTTCCTCGTTTTGTGTCTGTAGGAAGTTTGGGCGCAGACCCGGACTATACAAAGCTTGATAAGCAGCTGATAATGCACGACTTTCCAAACGATAGAACTGGAACGAAAATGGTAACGCAGTTGACAAACTTTGCGGCACTAATCGCTAAGAAGCAGTTTCTCCTCTACTAACGAGAAATAAGTTGTGGCAAGCGAAACTAAAAGTTCGTTCAAAGTGTCTCACAAGAAAAGCGGGGAAAATATCAGGTTATGATGGCAGCTAAGAGCCTAAGACCCGTGAGTATACTTGTCAGTGTTACGCCTCCCGTGTTTCGATCTTCCCTGTTTACCCTGTCGTTAAGTCAAATAGACATTCTGTATCTCAGTAAGCTTGGGTTCATCCTAAGTACTGGATGTTGTTTGCTCCCTCTGCCGCAGTTTGTTAAGAAATAAAAACCTGACAGGAATGCTGGCACTGGGATGGGTGCTGACGTGTCGCCGCCCATAGGCAGTTTTTCAGCAAGTACGAGAAGATCTGGCAAAACACGTTCAACCCGTTCCGGGGCTTACATCAATCCAGCCACTGTACGACCCGGTGGGAAAGCACTTCGTCAATTTACAAGTAACATGGGTGCCCGAACAAAAAGTCAGCGTACTGTCCATGCTGGGATGGGAGCCGACGGACTGGGTGAAGCTGCAGGTATGGACCTTATGCGTTCAAGGCGAGCAATAATGCGTACGATGTAGTATCATAACCCTGGAACCATGTAGTACCATAACCATATAGCACCATGGAACCATTATTTATGTAGTATTGTAGTATCATAAAAAATGAAGGGTGTACTACGAGTTCAAGAGCTTGGAACCACGAACTGTACGCGAAATGCGCAAGTGATTGCCAAGATACTGGAAAGTGTACTTAATGAATAGCGGAAGTTATCAGCTGCGGTTTATGTACGTACAGCGGTGGACTGTACAATGTCGCTGTACTCTATACCTAGCAGCCGTGTAAATATGCTTTAATAATATTGTCTTACTCAATTATTTCTACTAGTTATTAGTCGTACTAGCTGAGAGTTGGTTAATAAAATATATTAACCGCTAAGTCGACAAAGTACGCCAAAATCGATCTGGTCTCAGTCCCGAGTCAGGCTTCAAGTTCCAACAACTGCGGAGTTTATGCAGCCGCCTTTTCCATAGATCCCGTCCTGTCCTAGAAACCGAATGTGGAAACCGCTAACTGCATCAAAGAAGATTGAAGAAGATCAGTTGAGGCAGTGGATCAGCGAGATCATTAGCGCTGAAGAAACGGAAGTTACCTCGTAAGCGCGGCCCGAACAACCATGGTCCCTAAGCCAACAATAACGATAACCCCAACAGAAATAGACAGGATCTGCTCGAAGCCAAAATATACCGGTCAAAGTGCGATTAAATGCGGTGGGCGGTATGTCGTTAACAGCATGAAGGATGATGAAGCTAAATGTACGGGTTTTCCATTAAAGTCTGGTTAGACAAGGTCAACGCAGAGCAACTGGACGACTGAAAGCGCAAAAAGTTTTTAAAAAAAACTAAAAAGACAGCGAAAACAATTTCTAAAACAAAGTGCGGCGGTAAAATTATTTTTCTACTCGTTGGAAATTCATAAAAAAATCAAGTTCTGCAATAAAAATGTATTTACAGGACTTTTTGGGGCGCATATCATTTTTTTCCTTTATTAAAGCGTGTACACACGAGACTCTGCACACCACTATTTGCTTTTATCAGAATTACCGATAAAATAATTAGTCTTACAATGTTAGCTCTGTGATCATTCTATCGTTTAGTACTTGCTTATGTCACACTTCGAACACATTCTTCCCAATAATCAGCTTGCAGCAACTTACAGTTAGGCACAAATGCTGTTGAAATTTTGCACCACCAAGGTATTAACTAGCAGTGTCAGGAAATCGGAACGGACGGTGTCGGAGATCCAGGTTACCGTTAAGTCGGGAATTTATTTAGGGCGGTTATCTACGTAGTAGCCTGACATCACGCGGAGATTCCAAAATGTCATAATTATTATTTTAATCGCATGGGTTTCAAAAGTGACAAGGATAACTCCGCTGACATTGAATACTATTCAGTGTTTCAGATACTAAGAACGCTTACACTGAACATCGTCCTTATGTCGATAAACAGCATATAATCGAAAAGGACATAACATTTCTTTTATAGATAAATTTGTGAAGAGCTGAGCATACAGATACTCTCGTAAATTTCTGGAGCACTCCGCAAGAAAGTTACATTTGTAATTCGCCTTCGAAATGATTGTAGACTCATAGTTGCGACTGTTGCCGGCGTTCCTCACTGCCATGGAAACGACAACAAGCAACGGTGTGTGCAACATTGCACGTCGCACAGAGCTGGTGATTTACTATTAACTGTACAAGCTTGCCCCGTAATTTTATCTGTACTGTACACTGCCATACAGGGTGGTTTCCACCACATCACACACCGGAAGCCCTTATTCTTTAACTTGAAAAATTGGGCTCTGAGATCGTCTAAGAGTACATGTGATTATGTAATGTACATCACCACGTAAATCAAGATACCGGCCATATAGCTCCCATTTTGATATTTCAACAGTTTTCGAAGAATCGCATTGTACATTGTCGCTGTACTCGCCTAAGGGCCAAAGAAACCTCCGCTAACGATCATTCTTTGGGTCCATTGTTTTTCAATGCAGTAGTGTGTTTTTCGAAATTATTTCCACTGATGGGCTGTTTAAAAAGTGTCATCATTTGCTGACAAATCCATGTTAAGTTTTTACTGTTTGCATAATAGTGTGGCATTCTCTTGTATTATGCGGTACTTACCATAACGCAACAGCGATGTTTTCGTTCTACACTGGCAGATAATCGAAACAACGTTCGGAGTGTTGAAAACCTAATACTGGCATTTTACCGTTTATTTTTTGACAACACTACTTCAAACGCCCACTGCTCAGTTATTTAGTTCCTTCTGAGTGAATTTCAAGCAGAGAAGTTCCTGTAGGCGCAATCAGCACAGTTTTCAGGACCGGGCTGTTGTGCGTCAGCAAATAGAAGTGCACTACTGTCAATGCTCTCGCTAATTAAAATATTGTGTGACCCTTCCCGTGTTAGACCGTCGCTCAGAAGACGCACTGGATCTTCTACAGCGCGGTCCAAAACGGGACTGGCTTTTAGCAAGGTTTCTGTCCTCACATACGAATCACGAAGCATCATGTCCGCCGCAGTACTTAATACTTTACTTAATCATGTGCATTGTTTGCCGGTTATAATTTACGTACAGTCATCTGTGGTAATTTCCGTGTAACAAAATAATTAACAATACGACGATTGTTCTATAATTACTGCAGTTTCTTCACTTCATGCAGCTAGCTGTCGTTAAGCTGAGCACAGTTAAGACAAAAATCTTAACTATTAAGAAGATACTCGTACCGTAAATGCATTCTCATAAAAATGAATAAGAGTATGAAACTATATAAAAAAACTGAGATCTGCAATTGAGCGCGCCTCCACTTAAATTTAGGCGACAGATACCGTAACAGGCTTTTGTTCTAAGCGGGCCGTATAAAATAATATTCAATCATGAGAATTTTTCGCTCCAATTTAAAATCTGGAGTGTTTGATCAATATGAAATGTGGGCAGCCCAAAAATGCCAGGAAGAGAACACTTGGTATTCCACCACGGAATTCATATCTGCGTATCTCGGAAATTACTTTGACTCATAAGGGCTTCTGGAATAGGCCACAAAGTTTCAGCCTAACACATGTATTTTGAGCGATTGCATGCACAATTAAGCGAAAGCGAAAAAGCTTTTTGGCTAGAACACATCGTAAATGGAAAGCTTGCCATTGTGAATGCCCCAAACGAAGAACATGGCGACCTCTAGATCAAAACACACTAGCTACGAAACCTACACCGCAAGGAAATCCGGGACGTGGCCCTCCCGCCTTCGGCTGGGGTTGCGGAAAACCCGACCTACTCTTTCCGCAGTTTACGGAATCGAGACTGTATTGTGCTATGTGGCAGGTGCACCTAATGTACAGAAAACGACTTGAATCGTGATGAACTGTTCCATTCAGCGGGGTCGTGAACTGCTTAACTGCCTATCCCATGCGTGTTGAAGAAGAATATACTGCCAGCGTTTCTCCAAGACGGGACCTGGGATGACACGTGCCAGAACCTGATGACGAATGATTTCGCGCCCCCAAACTGCTACATCCGAACGACCAGGGACATAGCAATAAGTGCGCCATCAACAGGGAACGGAAGCGCTCAATAAGTGTATCGTACTCGGCAGGGCGTGTCCATTGTCGGAGGCAACATTAGCCGAAAAGTAAAAAAAAAACTAGGGAACCTCTAACCAGGCAGACGCTGTAGTGTCGGGGTAACCGGTGACCCCTCAACTGTAATTATGACCACGATAGAGGAACCTCTTCTTGCATCTGCCATTTTTGTCAGGGATCTTTGGAGAATGACCATTCACGTAATTCTAACAATAAACAGTTTCAGCACTGTCCATTTTAGCGACACCTTCAGTTGTTAACGGGAAGAATCGCTCGAGAAAGTGGACAAACACCACGGTATGACGCATAATGCAGAAAGCAAAATATTTCCAACAATGTACTGAAATGCCGAGCTGGAGCGCGGACAGATGGAACTGAGCATACAGAACGTTGTCAATGACATCGGTCTATGAGTCAGCGAATTACGGATATGGCCGACCGCTTGGTCAGAGCTGCCTACAGTGACAATTTTGGAAAGAGAAATCACATTGTGTGGATGTGACGAAGTCGAAGAAATGATATCAGCAGCGTAACAGCAGGTACACTCATAGATCAGAAAAAGAGTAATAATTCAATTAAAAAAAAATTCAAACTTTTGGATAATGATTCTTTTAAAAAAATTTCAATCAGAGTGCCGTGTGCCTGGTGCGGCGAACACGGAAAATCTGCGGAATTAGCGAAATCTTTAATTAACCCTAAAAGCAGTAACAGCTGAAATCGGGTTGCTTTCCTGTTGTACAGTTTGACTGGGAAATAAGTTTTTCCGACATCTTTGCTGACTACTGTGGTAGTACGCATTAAGTAAAGAATATACATAGTAGAACATTATTACTGTACAAATAGAATGTATTAATTTTCCACGCACCCTGCAGTTATGGCATTCGTCGCATTCCCCATACGTGACAAATTGGCGTGAAACTCATTGCTTACGAGTCCCTACTTAGTTCATTACTTTCGTTAAAAAGTCCAGACTTGGCAATACATTATTAAATTTTGATCTATCGTTTCATAACAAGTAAATGCCCAATTGAAACCCAAAGCCGGTTCAGTAATTTCCGGCGTCTGTGATTGACAGGAAAACGATACCCATTATAACTGCATGTAAACTGTACTTTCTTCCAGAGTGAAGCAGAAATCCTTTTCACTAATCTGATTTAAAGGCAGCGGAGAAGGTCAAGTCTCACTCATCGAGATTTAACGAACTTCTGCTGAAAGTAGCATTGCTTCTTCATATTCTCAATGGAAGCTACGGAGTCCGCGGCACAGAAAAAAGCGTGGGAGAAGAAATCAACGGCGAATCCGTTTGCGCCGCTTATAGAATTATACGGTTCACAAGTTTTTGCGGGAATCGGGTATACTGAGTGAGCAGTTTAAATACGTTTTTACGGTTCTGTTATAATGACTGAGCATAATTACTGTCTTTCACTATATGCTTCGCTCGACGAAAGGTCATGATCTAGAATTCATTTATGTTCGCAGACGGTTGTTCTTTTTTGCAGTCAATTTACACGGCAAATTTGCAACCACTGCATGTGGCCTTACTCAGAACCCCATATCAGTTTGTAATACAGAACATGCTGAAACACTGGAGCGCTTTTAAAAATATTCCGTCGCATGAACTGGAACTAGAACTGGAGCAACTTTCGGACACCAAGGTCCCAGAGGACGTGGGGTGCGTGCTAACGCTTCACTCGACGAAAGGTCGCAAATGATTATCTTCGCAAATTTATTGTTCTTTTTGCAGCAGTTCACACGGCAAAATCACAGCCACTGCAAGTGGCGTTACTTAAAACGTCGTTTCAGTTTGTGACCCTAAATATGCTAAAGCGCTGGAATGCCTTCAAGAGCACTTCTCCAGATGACCTACAAAGGGAACTGGAGAACCTTTCGGAAACGAAATTCCCGGAAGAGGTTGGCAGCTTTTTACGACACACGAACCACAACAACCAAAAAAAGCAATATCTTATAAAAGATCCGCAAATGGTGTCAGAGCATGCACTAGGGTATATTCAGAAAATCTGTTCTTTTAGGCCTACATTGGCGCCGAAATCATTGAGCAGGCGGAGCGCATGGAGGAGCGTTATGCCCACGTCGAGAAAGAAGCTAGCCTGCTTGGTCCGGTCGATCGTGAGCTGTCTGACGACCGTGTCCGAAACTTCCCCAGTACTGATCCCAGCTGGTCGCTCTCGCGGATCATGTCGTACCTAACGGGGGAGACACGGATTGTCACGGCGGCCATCCATTCGAGGGGATGGGCACATCAGACCTTACAAAGCGGGCGCCGCCGGTCGACATCACAAGCGGGCGAATGGTGGCCCAGCTTGGCCGATGCGGCGTACAGAAGAGGGGGAAGCGCCGTCGACGTAACATTAATTTGCATTAACGCTGTTAATTACCGTTAACACAGAGCTCTCCAGTATAGTACTTAGCAACGAGGTGGGCAATGAGTTGAGGGGGCAGGAAATATAAAGTTAGTGGTCAGTTCTCATCGTAAAATAACGTAAGATTGAGACATTCGAATAATTTCGCGCAACCCTCCCAGCCGGCCTTGGTTCTTATCTGGTCTCAGCCACTGACGCCAGAACGAGGTCCCGTAACTTCCGTTCACGCAGAGGCCTAACCTGCGCTTCTCTTGGGGTCCGCTTGGGTTCCCAATCTTCCCAGCCATCCGTCGGACAGTCTGCCACCACTCAGCTGCTGTACAATGGCCTCAAAGGCGTCCTTAACTGGGTTCAGGGCTGCGCAACGTACGGTTTACATTTGTTATGTTATGAGTGTACTGTTTTTATCCACGGGAACTTTCGCTTTCGCGCACATTAAAATACTTTGTAATTTCACCCTTCAAATTTTAAAGCGCATACATAAGGAACATACAACAAGGAACATATTCTGAAATTTAATTTAGAATTAAAAAAGATTCTGGAACTCTAGTTCGCTGCAAAAACGACCTTGATCCTAATATTTGGTTACATGCAAATTTTGGAGAAGATCGGTTCATATTTCATAATAAATGAGGCTTGCGCATATTATGTACCGGCACACCTAAATGCATTTAAACATTTTAGGATTTCGGTTTACTCGAATGATAACCTAAAAACGCGCATCCCGCGCCATACAATTTAGCAAAGGGTCCCGTAACTTTCGTTCACGCAAAAAGGCCTAACCTGCGCTGCGGTCACGTACGGTTCACGTTATTATGGAGTGTATTGTTATTCACGAGAACTTTCGCTTTCGCGCACCTTAAACTACTTTGTAATTCAGGGCTTTCTATAGTCAAAATGTCGAATGATTAGTAAACATTGGTGTGAAAAACGATTATGAGAATTTAATACGAGTAAAATAAAATTCAAAAATGTTTTAAAGCATTTAGGTGTACCGGTAACATGCGCAAGCCTCATTTATTGTAAACCGATCTTCTCCAAAATTTGCATGTAAACAAATACGAGGATCAAGGTCGCTTTTGCAGCGAACTAGAGTTCCAGAATATTTTTATAATTCTAAAATAAACTTCGAAATTTATGTTCCTCGCAGTTTATGCGTTTTAAATTTTCAGTGAATAAGAAAAGAGAACGCGCGAAAACAAAATCTTCCGTGCAGGTACTCGTAAATACATAAATTTGGTATCACGTACCGGTACACTGCACTTTACGAAGGCTTTTAAAGTTTTGAGAAATTTGGGTTCTTCGGTACTACCATAATTAATGAAATGGGCTAGTGTAGAACTATGTAATATTATGTACAATGAAATTTTAAAAAAAAATCTGTGTCAAATTATTGAAAGATGATTTTTGACACTTCACACAAAACCGCCACCGTTGTACATTGCTTTATTAATCAGCCGAGAACTTCGCGTATCAAAATAAAACTTTTAGTACAGTGTATTTACCTGCATAATCCCCGTATCGCAAAACTAGGAGAAATTGTGCAGTGCCAACTTACAGCAAGTTGCTCACTATCGAACGCATAACTTTTCACGGCTATCCGATACTGGTTCTGTCCGAAATCAAGGTTACAGCCAAACCGTGAAACCATATACGCCCGTTTATAATGAGCACCCGATATCGCCGAAAGATTCCGGAGTTCCAGAATTCCATGATCTTTTTCCATGAAGTAACACCCATTTCACAATGAAAACAGCTTGGTTTTTCGGTAATTTATATAAATACCAAAAACTGAATTCTTGCGCATCAGTGGTAAAGTACCACACAAATCTAAAAATTATAAATTTACAGGTGCCGTGTAAATTTAAAATTTTAATAACTTTTTATAAATTTACGAGCACCGTGTAATGTGCACGGCAAAATGAAATTGAGGAGTACCTAAGTCATTCGACTGTTCACGTGGGTACGTTGCTACCGGCGTTGCCATGGAAATCGAGGTGCAGATTGTCACGTAATCCGGAATGTTTTCACTCAGTATTCAGTGTACAGTGTACCCTGCACTCGCGCCAAAGGGACTGATTCGATTACTTGCTGCATACCGCTGATACCAGTAATTATTAATTTTCCTGCGTATGAGTACGATACATTCTCCATTCCTGACCGTCATAAGCTGCGGAGTGGGCTTATGATAGCTAAGAGCACAACAAATACGGGCGGTTTAATAAAGTCGCCTAATATTTGCCACGTCCTCGTATATATTAGGGATTTGTTGTGCTGTGCCTGCAGCGATGGCCCGGTCAGCAGATTTTACTTTCTCGACATCCCACGAAGAACTGTACGCTCAAATTCACAATTTCGTGTCTAGATGTCAAACGGTTAGCTCTTTTGCGCCCCAATTTAGCGTTATACCCATGCTAAATTGCAGTCTCACTGATAATTCCTGAAAATCTGAATCCAGATAGTTGAGGGCGACATGTTAAATCGCTTGGCGGCATTTGCACAGATGTTACTCAGTGCTTTTGTTTAAGCAGTAGAACCTACCCACGGTTCCGTTGCCGGTTTATGTTATACATGGATTGCTTACAGAAAGCTGCTCTGTAATAAATTTATTCCCAACGGCATGCAAGCAAAAACCGGCATTAACCGGAAATGAGACCAATCAAAACGTTACAGATCGTTTTCTTAGTGTTAAACTATGGCAGTTGTCAACTATGGTGCCGCTACATCATTTGAATCGCTATCGGTATAATTTTCGAGCATAAAAATGTCATGCAGGGCCAGAAGCGTCAGCGCGTTCAAGCTATAGACATCCAGATTCCGCAGATCCACCGCATGCCAACTTTGAAACGATCCATCGGGCCGAAACCCGTTAAACCTGCAAAAACATCCCGCCTGATGGTACATCGCCTTGCAGAATTATTGAGGCAGTATGCTGAACGTACAGTTGGATAATTTCCCGAATCTGCGTCCATCCATCAGCATTTGCTGATGGATGGCCGTCACGCGAGTGTAAAGACCCGGATAAGTAAACAGACTGCTACTGACAGCCAAAAGAAGGGTCCGCAGTACCTGCGATGGAGAGTCGCTGCAGCGCAGAACACAACGGTCCACCGTCACATCGCGCCGCGGGCGATCATAGTCCCCATAGTATTTCTGAGCGAACAGTTTCGGAAGCAGGCTATTCTTAATGCGAGGGTAGGTGTAATTGCAGTTGTGTATGACATTCTCCAAAGTGCAGTCAACGAGGATCAGCTGATGGCACACCGGCATTAGCCGCAGCAGCTCGTCGCAGGAGTACTTATACGTCGCTTCCGGTAGCTGACTTTCGGCGGATAAGACGCGTAGTTGTCCGTAGCGACCTTTAATGTTAAATTTTTCCAGCACGATTCCCTTGATCTGCAACAAATGAAAAAGGAGTTTCTCCCATGGATCGTCGTGGGTTATGCCGATAATCCGGGGTATGCTGATATAAATGATGCTGCGAGTCTGCGTCGTAATAGCGGCCTCCAGGGCCATCGCCTTTCTGTAGGCGTGGTTATCGTGCACTGTTCCGAAGAGCTCGCGTTCCCTAAGCTGGAAGACATTGGCGTCAAGGACCAGATGCCGGCCGGTATCTGGCTCGGCCAAAATGGCTCGCCATAATGCACAAACGCTAAAACCAAAGGAATTCAAGAGTCAGCGAAAAGACTAATAACTTTGTATAACAAAACCAAACCAAAGAAATGTAAATTTTAAAATTGACCAAACAATTGTTTAGATATAGCCTGGTTTGTATACGGATAATTTTTGCGCAAATTTTACAAGACACAAATGTCACAATGTGTGTGTGCTTCATTAATTTTATGTATCTGTAGGGTACCTCTTCGCAGTAAATTGTGACAGAAGATCTAAATGGAGAAGAACATTTTTGATGACGGAAACTGAGAGGCTTTCGAATTGGCAACTGTCTCCTGCAACGAAAAGCTTTACACGCAAACAAAATACCCGTATAATAATAAAGCTTTGTCGTTGTCTTGATAGCAATGCCGCCATACCTGGATCAGCGTGAACACGCAATCGCCTAACAGCCACTGAGCAATCCGTCGCCGGTTTTTTCGCGGGACCAATACAACGCGACGAGTGTTTTTCAGTACAACTGCGGTACAAAGTATCTTCATCGCACAGCACTGCATTACCAGGCACTTGGCTGTGTTGTTCGTAGAAGATAAATGTCACACGGTCTTCTTCGACCCGTACATACATGCGCTGGCCGTCGAACATCTCCCGGCCTAGGCGAGGGGGAAACGCATCCTGAACGCAGAACCTCAACCACGATAACCACCGCAGCTGATGGGCTTTATCAAAAGGAATGACTTTTTTGGTCCAGACCAGACCGTTGCGGCGACCGAAAAACGGCTCCTCGTTCGGCGCTGGCAAACGCGCCAGCACCTGGTACTTGCGGACGACGTGGCAGCGGAGCATCCCGGTTTCGTCGCGCTCGTCGAGCGTAACGTAACCAAGCTCGGTCCCGGATCGAATCACCCGGCCGGCGCGAATTACGAGCGGGCCGTTGGCATTCGCACGGATGGCGATGTGTGCTGGTACAATGTCGCCACGCGGTCCTGCCAGCGGGAGGTGGTCGCTGATATGTTCATATGTCCAGATATAGCGAGTGTGGATCCAGCCTGAGGGAACGGTCGTCGACATGAAGTCGATAAAGTACTGTTCCCCTTCGGTATCGATGTCGGTAATGCATCCCAGCCACCACACTCCACTCTCTCGTTGGACGATCACGTAGTTGAAGAAAGTCCATTCCCGGGGCGCAGGAGTGGTGCGAAGCCGTTTCGTCGGTGCGACATTCATTTTCGACAAATTAATAAATACGATTCCCAGATGACAGATGTGATTCTATACGAGTACAATAACAAAGATGATATTTTCTCTTCCGAAATGCTACACGGGCATGTATGGCTGTTGTAGTCAGCACTCAGCAGTGATTCAGCACGACATTGCTGTATCGCTGCAACCTGTATTACCCGCAAATTAATACCTTAATACCTCAACATTAGAATTTCACTATTTTACATGCCAGTACGACGGAAAGCAGCCTTGTTGCTGGTCAGGTACTTACCGCTGCAAAGAAAATCACTGTCAGGGGATAAATAGGCCTGGTATTACATATAAAATGGCAGTCCGGAAAAATTGAACGATACGGTGTAAATAACGCATGCAGTGCAATCCGATTCATAAAGCATCGCTGTAATGTTGTTACAGCGGCAGCGGAAATACTAGGGTGAGAATAGTGTAATTGGTAATTGCAATTTACAGTATAATGGGAAAATATAATTCTTAAAGTATAATAGTGAGAAGCGGGATAAACAATTATTTAAGCGGGATAGCAGTATAAAATTACGAAGAAGACTGAAATGCAACGCACCAGATGCGTTTTCTTCTGTACAGTCGTAATCCAAGGCAGATAGACTCTCCTACAACTCTCTAAGCACGTCTCCCTTGCGATAGTTGACGAGGCTGGCAAACAGGCATGAACGAGGAACAGCGGGGCCAGAGCGCACGTGCTATCGATCCAGAGGCAGCCGTTTGAGTACAGTAACAGGGTGGACTGATGGCCCAGAGCCGGTATCGTAGACTAGCTGAATTATAAATAGGCTGTCCATGGGACACAGTACACACTAGAGCCCTGCAACGGATTGGTAAATCCGAACCGCTCCGCATCCACTCCGATTTTCGGAGCGGTTTGGACGGGTTTTCGTTACCAAACTTCGGATTAGGAGTGGTTTCGGAGATTAGGCCGTTCTAAATGGACTGGTTTCGGATGCAGTTGTGAATCCGAATTATCCGTAATTATTATTTAAATTTTTAAAAATTTGTTTTGTCTGTGATTATTGCGTGCTCCCCATGCGTGGCGTTATCTAGCAAACAATAAGCAATAAGAGCGGAAGTACAGTACTTATTCTCCGTAAAGCGCTACCACCCTCACCCAAAGATTACCGACGCGCGCGCACGCCATGGTTGCCGCGTCGCATGTGCGCGCATTTATTCAAGTCAAGTGTCGAAAACTGCTAAAACAAATACCAAGTATGTAGTTGTTTTCATCAATTTCTGCAACACAAGCTGTTTATTTTTGTAATTCGCGATGTCAGAAGATGCGATCGAGATTTCCAGCGACGAGGATGCTTCAGCACCTAAGACTAGTTCAGGCAAAAAACGTTTGCATTCCTTTTCGGAAAAAGTGTATAAACGCGAAGATGTAGTATCTGGTTTGGACGGTGGCACCTTGTCGAAGGTGCAGGCCACCGGGGCCAGCAGACGTTCGCAGGTGTGGGAACATTTTATGGAAATCCATGAAGTTGGATCTGGCGATATTTTACCATACGTATACTGTGTCTCGTGCAAAGAGGTTTTCAAGCACATCTCGCGAAACGGCACTTCCCATTTATCCAGCCACATCAGGGACTCCTGCAGGCCAGTTGTTGTGAAGAGCCAACCAAAAATCACTTCCTTCGTTCAAAGTGGAAAAGCTCCAGTTGTTTCTGTTACTGCGAAGACAATGGTCACGGAAAGCTGCGTTCGTTTTGTTGCAGAGGTAAGAAACGAAATGGTTCAAAATTTTAATTTAATTTGATTTTGCGCTCTGTACAAACCTAAATTATTTTTAAATTTATTCACAATTAGAATTTTATATTTTATTGATTTCTGCATACTTAACGCCAATTTTATCATAGCCAATTGATGATACAAATACTGACAAGTTTTCATGTATTTTTTGCAGGACATGCGGTCGTTCGAGTCTGTGAAAGGGAACGGGTTTATTCGACTTATTCAAACAGCCATTGACATCGGCGACCAGTACGGAAAGGTTTCTGCAGCCGAACTTTTGCCACATCCAACGACCGTGAGCCGAAATGTAGAGAGCACTGCAAAAAAGTTGAGAGCAGCCTTATTTCCAAAAATAGCTGAAATTCTGCGCACTGATGGTGGAGCCGTGTCTTTTGATTTTTAGACGGATCCCTGCAACAGCGTGCATTATATGGGAATGACAGTTCACTATATCTCCGATTGGAACCTAATGGAGTATGTTGTTTTCGTTTCGTGCTATGATCCGTCGGTCCGAAAGACTGCCATAAATGTGAGAAAGTTTTTATCGGAGAAGCTTGCACTACTAGGCCTTAAAAAAAGCGACTGCAGTGAAGTGACGTTCGTCATCGACGCTGGGGCGAACATGGTCGCTGCACTTAAACTGGCAAACTACCCTACCCTTTCAAGGGTGCTATGCGCTGGACACTTGCTCAATCGGGTATCCAAGAACGCTGTGAAAAATATGCCGGAAGAGCACCAGATGGTCAACGAAGTTCTGCAAACGTCCAAAGCTCTTGTTCGACACATCAAAGCCACTACCCTGCAGCACATGCTGCCCCGTAAAGTGAAACAGGAGGTTGATACACGTTGGAACACTGTGATTGACATGCTGGACTCCTTGCTTTCTGTGTACGACGAGATTCAGGTAAGAAAATGTTTTCTTAACCACACGACAACCCAACTTGCGCAACGATTTATAATTGTAATCTGCTTCATCTAAGTAAGACAACTACGAGCGCTATTTAGTAAAGAATACGACTCGTACTGTAAGTACTTAAACTTAACAACGATGTCGTGGTTTATAAATACAAATACGTAACAAAACTTTATCATTGACGATTGCGTACTCGTACAGTCGTTTTTCTAATCACAGTTTACTGACAATGTCGTATGTCCGCCAGGATGCACTGTGATTGTCTAACGATTGTATAATTTTGCAGGTTTTGTTGGGCGAGCGAAAGGAGGATGAAATGCTGCCAGAACCGCGTGAATTTTTAGAGCAGTTAGTTGAGCTTTTAAGACCGGTCAAACAAGCGACTGCAGAACTGTCAGCGAGCAAATTTCCCACTATGCATTTGGTACTCCCTTGGCGAAAAAAGCTGGAAGGCTTTTATATGGCAGCTGCTAATGATGATGAAGCGCCAGCAATTTCGGCCTTGCGAAAGATGATGTTGCGTTACCTACGAGAAAAATTTGTGATCGTGGACATTCATCAGATTGCGGCTTTTCTGAATCCTCGAATGCGCACGTTGAAAATGTTAACCGAAGCGGAGAAAAGAGCCGTACATGCACGCGTGAAAGCGTTACTGCCTGTGATGGGTTCTGGTTTAAGCAGCTTGCATTCTAAAAAACCGACTACAAGTAGAGCAAGCACGTTTGCTGATTTCGAAGATGATTTAGTACCTGATCAAGAAGACGACGAAATTGGATTATACTTAAAGACATCCGTGCCACCAAGTTCAGCTGACGACGATGAAAGATGGATACTTGAGTTTTGGAAGAACAAAGAGACCGAGCTGCCCAGAATGTCGAAACTGGCCAAACAGATTTTTGCTGTACCGGCGACAAGTACTGCTTGTGAACGAACGTTTAGTTTAGCTGGGTTCGTTATAGATGACCGTCGTAATAGTCTTAAGCCGGAAAAAGTTGATGATTTACTTTTCTTAAAGAGTTACTACGCTAATGCGTCGGCTGGTGTTACAGAAGACTTTCCCGAGTTTAGTAAAAAATTTAATAAAGTTTTTCGGAGTGGAGCGGAGTGGATTCGGATGGTAGAAAATATTTACGGATCGGAGTGGTCGGAGTAAGATTTTTAAAATTCGGAGTCGGATTGGATTTGGTAAAATATTTATAAGTTCGGATAGGAGTGGATTAAGTTTTCTACTCCGTTGCAGGGCACTAGTACTACACACTACACAGCTTCGCTACGCGATAATCATAAGTATTATTCTTATTATTATAACATAGGCGACAACTCAGTCCGGTGCATTCCCGGCTAACCTTGCAAGCCCGTTGACTACCCTACAAACTACGTGTTACCGCCGTATTGTTGTTAACTATAACATCTACACCGCGCAGGCTCCAGTGTCAATGTACAAAAAAATGTACTTGGAAATTAATATAACAACTATTACTTTATTTGTGAAATTACTGGGAATGTGAATATTCTTAGGTTTATTTTTTTAATTTTTTTATTCCTATTCTTCGGTTTTTTTCCCATTTTTCTACTCTAGTTTTTGCAAGACATAGTTTAATACACTATCTACTCACATGCGATGTATGCATGGGTCTTGAGGGGACAGTTAGTGGCGCATTATTCATATTCCCTGTACTACTCCAGACATTTGACTGGGGTATTAGTGTACTGCCCGGCAGTCGTGACGCGAATCTCCGGGCGGATGACCGGAATAATAATTATAAGGTAAATGTACAGTGCCTTTACTGCGTTACTGACATTCACCGGTACAAATGTACTGTACTTACACCATACACCTTGACATACATGTTGCATGTAATGCGAGCCTTACTGTTCACATGATCTGAACAGTCCGCGTCTCAACAAGTGTATTAATCTGTTACAAGGAAGTTTTTCTTTAATCTGTTATAATAATCTATTAATGTGTCAGAGACCGCACACTCGAGGCGGCAGACACCTCTCGTGGCTTTGCTCTGTCGCCCGCCCGCACATGGCAACGCCATTCGTGCCGCGCTATCACGCTGCTTACTCAGCGTTCACTTTCTCTCGCTGACCAATCAGCGCATTGCTGCACTCTTGGGGGCGTAGCCGACCCAGCGCCTACGGGCGATTCCATGCTTTGTGGCATCAGCTGTTGCATACCTGCAGCACGCTGAATCATTATCACGATTCTGACGAGCGCGCTTGCAGCTACTTTTTTTCCACAGCTTTTCCCCATCGGGTTTTCTGTTGGTTTTTGTTGTTGCTTTATTGTCATCACAATAAAGGCATATTTGCCCCCATTTTCTCCTGCTTCCGTGTCATATCTGACAGATGTGTTATAAGGAAGTTTTTTTAAGAGAAAATTTTTGTACTGGTTTTTTGTTTGAGAGTTACATAGTTTGTACTCGCATTACGATACTTATTACAGGTACTGTCGAGTGTATAGCAAGCAAAAGGGATGTTGACATGGGATGTGTTGACATGGGATGTGACATGCGTGTGTACGATGGCTCTTTCCCATATCGCTGGAACATCCACACAAGCCGGCGCAGCAGCGGCTCAGGCCGAACGAAAAAAAACCGAGAAGTACCAGGACATCACCCATGATTACCTGTTCCGAGCGGTCGGCGTGGAGACAGTGGGGCCACTCGGACCGGAAGCCTCCCGGCTGATTAGCGAAGTGGGCAAGATGATTTGGCAGGAAACAGGCGAGAAACGTGCAACGGAGTTTTTGCGCCAGAGGTTCAGCATCGAAATTCAACGTGGAAACGCGGCATCCATCCTGGGAACGGCACCGGCCTCGGCTAATTTAGATCAAATGTTCTCTGTAATCCGGCCGCATGTTTCTGCTGTTTGTTAATATTACGATGTGATGTTTCCTTTGTGAATTGTAATCTTGTCTTTGTATTCGATTAAAAATGCAGATTCGTGAGCAAAAAGGTGAAAGGTAGTTTTAAAAATATTCAGTCCAAAAAACTGGGACTTTTTCTGGATGACTTTGCTGTGTACATATCTGTAAGGTAAAACGCAGTTTTGGTATGCACAACGACAACGTTATGAATTACCTTATACTGTAAATGAGGCAAAGTGGTTTTGCGACAGCAGCTACTCTGGTTGAACCAACGACAAATAACGTGGCATTTATATACTGTAATTGCCGTACCGTGTGCGATTTTTAAGTTGTGAATCGTTGTTACTAAATACTTGCGAAATTCGATCAATAGTTTATTAGTCACAATAACGAACCAATCTGATAACTGATCTTTTTTATTTTACTTCCTCTTTTGCTCTCCTGGCAGTGATCATTACTAAAATTTGCATTCCACACGTACTGCTAACGATACCACAAAACAACAGTTGTGCTAATCCCTTCAAGAACAAAGGCTAGCCGATCGTGTGACATACTCCGATAAGGCTCTAAACACCACTCGTTCGTATAATGCTCTAAAACATCACTCTTTCGTACATTTATTTATTGGCTAAATGACAACAGATTAAAATTCAGTCCATCCACCTACAAAAAACTCCAGAAATACACCAACAGCAGCTTCTATTTGCCTTTCAACTTACATTACAGATGCATGTGGTGAGCCACCCAGTACAGAGTACTAGTTGGTTGTCGCGAAGTTATCGCTGTCGGTATAATCGTACAGCATAAAAATGTGGTCCAGAGCCAGAAGGGTCAGTGTGTTGAAACTATAGACATCCAGATTGCTCAGATCCACCGCCTGCCAGCTTTGAAACGATCCGTCCGGCCGGAACCCGTTGAATCTGCAAAAAGCCCATCCGAACAGTATTAGTCTCGTTAATTCCTTTTTTTTATTAAGACGAGGGGTACCCAACATATGGTCCCCATGCGCTAATTTTTTGTGTGCACTCGGTGGCTAATGTACAGTCACTTTAACTATTGCCGTGTGCCACCAGATGTTGTGCTACCATCTGACAATTTTTTTATGAAGTTTTATACGGTCATTAACAAAATAATGAGGAAATTAGTTTTCAACTTCGACCCCGGTAAAAATATTCACTATTCAACCAGTTAAGAAGACATCATGCAGTATAACAAATTAGGGTATGCAGTGTCGTTAGTTATGAGATTATGGGTTTGGTAACTCACAACTGGATTATCTCCCGAATCTCCGTCCACTGATGGGGGTATTTTAAAACCCGCAGCATTCGCTTATGGATAGCTGTCACTCGCGCATAAATATCGGGGTCCACAGAACAGTTGTTATTGACAGCCAGAAAAAGCGATCGTAATAACTGCGATGGAGAATCGCTGCAGCGCAGAACACACCGATCCAACGTAACATCGCGCCGGAGACGATCGTTTGCAGTATAGTAATGCTCAACACCCAGTTGGCAAAGCAGATTGGTCGAAATCGTGCCTCGCAGGTAATGGAATTTGTGGATAACATTTTCTAGAATGCAGTCAACGAGGATCAACTGCCGGCACACCGGAATGAATCGCAGCACTTCGTGGTAAATGTATCGATAGGTCGGCTCCGGTAGCTCAGTCTCCGCGGCGTACACGCGCAGCTGCCCGTGGCGGTTTTTAATAATCAGCGCATCCAGCACGACACACTTGAGCCCTAGCAGATGCAAAAGCAGCGTCTCCCATGTTTTGTCGGGACTGTTGTTGTAGAAATCGCGGGATTTGCTGATGTAGGTGATGGTACGCGTTCGACTGGTAATGGCTGCTTCCAGAGAGACCAATACTCTGTAGTGATGGTCGTCATGTTTCTTGCCGTAGAGATGGTCGTCATCATCGAGTCGGAAAGTCTTAGCATCAAATACGAGATGCCGGTTGGTTTCCGGATCAGCTAGCATGATGCGCCATAAGGCACAAACGCTAAAAGCAGAGAAGTACTGAACTGCAGACAGAATACTTAGTTTGCTTTAGCAATTACGATATGCATTTTTTAAGGATTTAAAATTTTACAATATAGATTGGACGAACTGGACACCAGAGACACCGTATTCTCGGCGTTGTTCCATGAGAAAACTTTTCGCAATTGATTACGCGATAACTGTTATTATTCTTTTATACGTACAAGCTTGTGCATGGAATTAACAAAAACGTATCAAGTTACCTTTTCGCATTAAACTGTGATAGCAGATCTAAACGGAAAAGAACATTCTTCACGAGGTGAAGTGGGATATGGCGTAACTGGTAAGTGTCCGCTAGAATAGAAATTACATATCGTTAAAACATTTACATTTTTGTCGTTTTTTCGTGGTCGAAAAGACTAAGTAAACTGTGTTATTGAACGTCGCAGTACCTGCATCAACTTTAGGTGGTAGTAACCTAACGGCCAACTGGACACTCTTTGCTGCCGGGCGATTCTCCGGACCAACGCAATATTTCCAGTATTTTTCAGTGCAACTGCGGTACAAGGCTTCCTCATTGCAGCGCAGTGACTGGCCCGGTACCTCACTATGTAGTTCGTAGAAGATAAAAGTGACGCTCTTCTCCTCGGCCCGTACATACATTCGCCGCTCACCGTAAGGCAGCAGAGCGGTCTGGCTATTACGACGGGGAAAAGCATCTTGAACACACGACACCAGACACTGTAAATTACTCTGGATCAGGTAGGCTTTGTCAAAAGGAACGACTTTTTTGGTCCACACCAGACCGCTGCGTCGGCCGTAAAACGGCTCGTCGTCCGCTGCCGGCAGTCGCGCCAGGACCTGGAAGCTACGGACAATGTGGCAGCGAAGCATCCCAGTTTCGTCACGCTCGTCCAGTGTAATGCAGTTCATCCAGCTACGAATCGCTCGGCCGGCACGAATCACGAATGGGCCATGGTCATCGGCACGGAGAGCAATCTGTGCCGGCACAATATCACCGGACGATGCACCCGGCGATTGGTGGTGGGTGAGGGGCTCGTATGTCCAGACGTGGCGAGAGTCGATCCAACCAGGAGGAACGATCGTCGACATGAAGTCGATGAAGAACTGGTCTCCTTCGATGTCGGTTATTCGTCCCAGCCACCACACTCCCATCTCTCGCTGGACAATCACAAAGTTCCGCAAAGACCACTCCCGAGGGGTTGGCGTGGGTCGAACCCGTTTCGTTTGTGCCACATCCATTTTCGATAAGCAACGTTTTCCAAATTTTACACGTACTTCTACTATACACATAGAAACGGAATGTCGCACTTGGCACAAGAAGACCCGTCTCTAAACCAATAGTTACAGTACATCGATACACGCGATAACACGGTGTTCACTAACAAGCGAATATTTGCTCACCTGATATAAATCAAAATAATAATCACATGGAACAAATAAAAATTAAATAAGAGCATTGACCTTCCTGCCGTAATTGCAAGCAGGGATACTTTAGCGCCAACCGTCCCCCAGAGTGACAGCAATAACATCATGTACGTGTCGCATTTCAGAGAGAAAAATGGAGAGGTCACGGCCACAGTTTCCCCATGACAAGAAAATTCCTCTATAACCCTTTTTGGACACCACCACGCTACCCTTCTTTCAATATAGCGCCTGCTTTTAGCTTGGTAAAAGGCAGGCCAGGAGAACAAAAGCATGCCTACATCATACTTTTGTTAATAAGTAGTAAACCGTCGCGATCATAATGCTGAAGGAGGCTGTGCCCCAGGACATCTTAATAGTTTCAACCGAAAGGCTCGAGTTAAGTGTAAGAAGTCAGTGCGTTGCTGAAAGGGCGAGAGAAGTTCGTGATGGGACGAGGGACAGCTGACCCAGATTTTGCTGCTGCGCTAACTGCCTGCACTCTGAGTGGTTTTGAAAGTTGCTGAGCAATTCGCCCTGCGTCCAGTTCTTCTCGGAAAAGTTGGTCAAGTAGAGGCTTTGCTTCAGAAATTAATGCTCTGCAATAATTACAACATTCAAACGGAGAGACTGCGCTTAAATCAACAACAATATGAAAACTGGCAGAAATGCTGTTTAACGAAAATTCTGCATCTGGGTCATCGAAAACGTCATTCTGCCAAACGGGAAAATATCTCGTCAGACTGCATCGCCAAGAAAGGTCATCATCATTCATCATAACATAAATATAAACTTTTCCAAAAAGACCGTCATTATGAAAATTAACAAAGACATTTTCAAAGGACGCATCAAGCCCGCTTCCCGTGAAATGCACACTGTACTGCTGCTGCGGTTGCGAAATGCCCGCCCCGATTGGTTAAACCGGCGGTATGCTCCCTGCCTGCCCATGCATTCGCATGAGCAGCATGTGCATGTCCATGCATTTACTTGTACAAGCAATGCACACGCTATGGGTACTGGCTTCCCGTACACAAACTCTGGTATAACTTGGTGGCTATAGCACTCGCACAGTTTTACATTATTTTAGCATTGTTGTGTCCTAAAAATAGTGCTTTAGTTTGTAAATTACAAGGTTGATAGACGTGAAAACTACCGCCGCAATGATCCACTGGATACGGCTTTATCCTTGTGGCGCGTTGACAGAATCTTGAATCCTGTGCCTGATATAATGCGCCGCCGAACAGTTTCTTGCACTTGATTGTTGTTACAGTCGATTGTTTGCTTGATTTTCTTTATTAAATCTCTACGTGCATGCTCCTAGTGCGAAATCAAATCTACGTCCCACGGCAGTCTGTGGAGGGACGAAAGGCAATACAGTAATATCTAAGGCTGATGTATTGTCTATCCTTCGAAGTACTGAAATTTTTTCCTTTTGGATGTTGATAATGCTGCATGGCCGTGCGAAAATAAAGTTACGGAACTTTGACCCTGATGCCATTATACCACTTTGAGTGAATCATTCTTCATTGGCGAGAACGGTTGAATAGTTGATATCATCGAATAGTTTAGTATTCATTGTATTGCGAGTATATATTGCTGCAGTTGCACAGATTTGCATGAGAAGAGACAACACTAAAATTAATATAAATAATGAAAATTAAACGTTAATAAGTACTGCAATACGTTAACTCTCATGTGTTTAACGCAGCACAAAAACTGAATACCGTAATTTTCGAATTATAAGCTCACCCCGAAACAGAAGCTCCCCCCGTAATTAGAGCCCACCCTTAAGGTCATTTGAAAGTTACAAGCTCCCCTCGAAATACAAGCCCATGGGCTTAATTAAATGCTATATGGCCCATATTTGCCAAAAAAGCTGGTTTGAAAATTGAAGCCCCCTCCGAAATACAAGCCCATGCCCGTAATTGGAGCCTACCCCGTGAGGCGTTTGAAATATTTGTAACCCTGGGGCTCTAATTCGGTAATTACTGTAGATATGAAATACGCTATATTCTAATAATCTGCTGCTCATAGCCTCAAGCTACGTTCCAGTCATCTCGAGTCCAGTTAGTTGGCAGAACAAATGGCGGTCCAGGCAGTCCTCTCGCATCACCCAGATAATCCGTCGCGTAGACCTGACAGCGTTTGTAGCCGCACGGGGTCGCTGCCCAGGCGTAACGAAGGAAACTGGCTGCAACGCCGCCACACGGTGTGTTCACAATAACGACGTTTCCCGCTAACCGATCCGGCTGACTGGTGGTGTTGCGCCACACCCGGCAGTCCTTCCAGCTGTCCCCAGGCAGTGCTAGGGGATCGCAGCATACCTGTGAAAAGAAAATGAATTTATGACCATCATCGACCCGAGCAGAGCGAAGGTCCTGTATATTCAAGGCCAATGCCTTCATTGATGTCTGTCCGTTACGGAAACCCGTTACGGAAGGTCGTGACAGTAGTAGCGCTATGACGTGAGGCTGTTGCCCGTTATGGCTATGGAGACTTGTGTAGCCACCGCAGCGAAAACTTTGTTTAAGCCTCGCTCCGGTCTGTCAATGCACGCCAACGTGCATTTTTCTAGTACATAAGTTATGTAGGCAGAAATCCCAGTTACTAGAACACGCACCTCAAAATTATTGGGAACGTCAGGAACAAAGTTACTCTTTGCGTCATATTCGATGTGCACGGAAACGTTATCCTGACTCAATTGCACACGCTGCGGGAAGGGCCCTTGAAAGGGAATGTGTCGGTAGTACACGACGGACACAATGCCGGCCAGCAAGCGCTGCGCGATCTCTTCTTTGTAGCGCGGCAGCTCCCTGTACGAACACGACGGGCTTTATAAACTTGCTGCGACCGTATTAAAAGTCACGCAAGTATTAAAGTTTAAGTTACGTGTGACCTAGCGAGTTACGTTTAACAACATCAGTGCCGCGCTCATGAATATCAAGGAGTACAGTTATCTTACGAGCCAAACGGCGATTCCGGGTCCGGCAGATCCATGGCCGTCGCCATGAAGACGCGCAACAGCGCTGTGTTCGGCACCTGCCCGAAACCCGCTGTCTGTTCCCAGCGCAACCGGGCGGTGGCTCCCGGTATGGTGTCCGCATTCCTCGTACCCAGCTGCACGATACCGAAGGGCAACGCGATATCGTGGTAAAAATGCTCCCTCCATCCATCCAGCATGGATTGGAATAAACAGCCATACGTGTCGGGATGGATGGCGGCATCTGCCTCGCCCTGATACCAGATGACACTGGTTAACCGCAATTTCTTCAGCGGGGCAATCATCGCATTCCACAGCATGGAATCGTTTGCCGGCTGAGGAACAGTTCCGGGGCACTGTCCGATACTGTCCGGAGGTGTCCAGCTGCGTATTGTAGAATCAGCCTCTTCGTAGGCGCCAATCAAGCCAATCGAAGCTTTCTCGTCTACTCAAAAAAATCAATATATATAGCACATAAAATGCACAAAATAGCCAGAGATTTATTTGTGTGTGGAGGTAGGATGTACCGAATCTTGTGCGAAGATCTTCGTACACGCGCCGGCCCGTCGCCCAACATAGTGCCGAAAAGTCCCTCAGTGAATCTGGACTAGCGACTGTCCAGTTCTGAAGGATGCGCGGTTCCTGCCACTCGGTGGAGGACGACGCCGGGGCGATGCGCAGCAAACGGATGCGAGAAAATTGTGAGGAAAAATCCAGTTCTTCCGAACCGTTGAACATCTAAAGCGATAATTATATACCATTATTAGTTTGCAAAACCATTTTGTTTGCTGTTGTTGTGTTACTGAGAAAATGCACCGATCTGCGTACTGTGAGACCGGGGCGCAGCGCGGCTGCCGATGACTTCGGCCGCAATACATTTCGGCCGGCGCTCGAATCTAGGGTGAAGGGTTAAACTTTTCTGTTATGCCTTCTGTTTAGTGCTGCCATGGTTCTACTAATAAGTAATAGCTATACTGTCTGCAACCAGAACATCACAGTCGAGAGGTTAAAAGAGAACTACTTCTATTTTAAAGAATCTGACGAGCGACGCCGAATTTTGACGAAATAAATTTACGTACTTTTGATATCGAGTATTTGATATTCGTATGGTTAAACAATATTTTACACTGGAGGCACGGACACAATGGCGGAGATGACGATGTGCTCGTACCTTTTCTCAGCTTGATTTTTTACTTTTTCAGTTTACTCTAAATCGTCCAACTATACTTGTTTTACCTATACGCGAACGTAGGGCGAACAAGTACTTTTCATAATCTTTTATACGAACGTTCTTTTCACGATGCAGCGAGAGAAGTGTGCGAGTGCGACAAAACTGAAGCGGAAATATATGTTTTACGTGTACAAATTTCGTCCTAATTCTTAGCGGGATGGCTGACCTTTTCCAACGGAAACGCCATGTTGGTCCCACCGCCGCATAAAAACACTTCTCCAAAATAAACGTCGCGGAGTCTGATATGACCAGTGCAATTCCCTTGCTCTGTTTGATATACATCGATCTGAAATGGTCCACCCGGTATATGAATCCAGAAGTTTGTTTTCCATATGCCTGCATCTAAATAAATTAGACACACGTTATTAGATTAGACACAAGTCTGCTGTTATGAAAGACGGAAATCGGCGAATCTTCTCGGCGTACTGTTATCACTAAAGTTTATCATGTGTATACCAAAATTGATTGGTCTGAAAAACTACTCTCACCTGACCCGTTTGTTCGTTATAATGTACGATTGTTATTCGTTTACTGTGGGTAAGAAATGAATCGAGGGGATGGGATGCATAACGCACTTGAACTCACCATTAACGTCGACAGAAACTGATTCGCCATAAAGTACAACCTGTGCTTTTGCTCCCGGCTTTCCGTAGCCCCATAACACCGAGCTAGGCTCATCAAACAACATCACCATTCCATCCTGGAAATAGCTAGCGAGTCGAAAAGTGAATGTAGTCTGAGCGTCGTTTCTCAAAAGAACCCCCCTGACCGAATCCACAGACAACAAAATTGCCCAACATAAAATGAACATCTTAGAATCACTGAAACCGTTCATCGTGTAAGTGAAAGGATAATGAGCAGAAATAAGGAGGCTGTGCTTAGCTCAAGTTTTTCGGATGGAATGCTGATGCTCATAGATACAACGCTCACAATTTACAAAAAGCAAGATCTTGTTCACGTCGTGGTCTGCGATAAAAAGATGCCGATCCTACAAAAAGAACGCGGCCTTACTTTGCAAATGATGTATGCGGACACTGTTTTCGAGCACGAGCCGTGCTCGAATTTCGAGCCTCGGAAGAGCAATATTAGGCTTATACCTCGAAGTATGGTATGGTCAGCAGTGAATATAATCAGATGATACTAAGAAAATTACCGATTTAGTCGGTTGTGATATTGGGCCACGCTTGACACCGTATCCTGTTTAGTCTGCACTGTGCAACACTGCTAGAGTAGCACTTCGATAATTGTACGCCACATGGTAGCCCATGCTCTTTATTTCAAGTTGATCGCAATGAAAGCCATAGCCAAGCCGTGATCAAGCTGAATAAAGGAGAGAGAGTTACAAGGTCCTGATATCTAACGTTCTGCCTAAACATTCGCCGATACGATGACTGCAAACAAACCGTTCTATTGCACTGGGACCCCTGGAGTCATAAGCCAAGAAAATCCATTGAAGGGATTCCTTCAAATCGGCAGCACGCACAGAACTTTTTATCTACTCGGTACCAATAGTGGACTAGAGCGAAGCCATGCAGATATACAGCACATATAGCTGCACATACAGCACATACAGCTGTGAAGTTGTGGCAGCCGACAGATCTATCGACCTGTTGACCGTTGGCGAGCCCGGTGGAACAAGACGGGAGAATTGTCAGGCATAACCGCCCAGGCCACTTTTTGTAACCAAAAAAAATATAGGTTGAACTGTAGTGAGGCTCTTAAACTTGTACATTGTACTTGTGTATTCGTGTATTCATAAATCAATACAATTCTTGAGATTCAACGCGGAAATGCTCGTTATGTATAAAATTATCTGTAAGAAAAAGTGCTGTTATCGTAAAAAATTAGAAGCAAGATTTCTTTCTGCCTCACAAGAAAGCGTAAGCAATTTAAATACCGAATTGAGATACCTACCATATTAACCGCACATTAGTACATTAATACGGCTATGTCTGCTTGGGTTTGCAATGTGATACTTCTGTTTTTGCAATGTAATACTCGTCATATTGATTCCATACGAGTACCAACTTTATGTAAACTGTAATATTTTCAGCTGTCGCTGGTTGTTTGGCAGCGCGATTTTATCCGTTCGCTTTAAATTTTCTAGTTTGTTACTATTGTTATAACTTGTAAGTACCGGTACATCAAGCAAATGCATTGTAACTCTCACACAGCACTGCACCCGGTAGCATTCAAAGCGCTCTACAATTGTACAAAATGCTCACACAAACGGCTACTTGGGTATGATCCTTCCCGTGCTAGACCGTCGCTAAGAAGATACAGAGATCTTTTACAACGCGGTCCAAAACGGGAACGATTTCTAACACGGTTTTATCTGCACCTATGAACTGATAAAAAACACAGTAAATGTATGTCAAGACTAGGAAACAGTGTTAACTTAAGGCAGTGTAAGGAGAAATCGAGCGCATGATCAGTGTATGTAAAGTGAATAGGTGAAAAGCAGCATCATGCTTTCGGGAGAAAAGGGGGACGGCGCTGGAGCGATTAGGTTTAAGCCAGCTGCGATGACCTGGCGATCCTGGCAGTTCCGATATAAGAACTAGATGAGGCTCTACAAGGTCACGGATACGGCCGAGTGGAACGAATTGCTACTGGACACACTAGGGATGCAGGCGCTGGAGATCGTGCGGGAAAAACAATTCCTGTCGAGTGTGCAAGAGCACGCCCGTTTGGATAATATGTGTGCAAAACCGGTACAATCACGTTTTATACATAATATTACCGTAGTACTTCACAGTAGTGGACAACTGGTGACCTTTAATACCAGAAACAAAGAAAGAAAGGTTCGAAAATTTCGTGGAGTGGACTGAGTTTCCGCCGAAAAAAGGAAAGACCTATTGCTCAACTCATTAGGCGTCAAAGCATTTCAGAAGCTCGTTTCCCTTTGCCGACCGAAACGTCTTATGGAATTTGCCTTTGATGAACTACTGCAGAAACTGGATAGCGCAGGAAAAACCACATCTGTGAGCGATGCCGCGCAGTGTGCAGTCGATGCGGAAAGAAAAGCCATATCGAAATGCCTGTAGATCAAAAGATTCCGAACCGGATAAAAAGCTTATTAATACTGAAGAGCATAAGGCACATGACATACTCGATTAAAATGTGAAATTTTGTATTCATCGATATGCGATGCTTCAGTAATTTTTTTCGTTATTTTTTAAAGGAAGGAAGGAATGTAGTGTACTTAGCAACGAATGATCTTCATGTCATATGCCAGATGTTAATTGTGTCAGTTACGATCTGAGAAGATACAATAAATCTAGAACCTTCAAGATATCACAGTTTATAAAAAATCAAGAATTAAATCTGTACATTTGAGGCCAAGCGTATGAAGTAGTTAAACCATCGGCGCGGCCGCGCAACAGAACTTTCAGAATCAGTGCTACTATATAATGCATTGATGCACTCACGGTACGGAAACGGAAGCACAAAAGCGGCGCGGAAAAAAGTAAGCCAGACTCCAAGAATACACAGCTTTTTTTTAAAATTAAATTCAGACACAGATCTATACCGCGCACGGCCCCCCATGCTGTAGCTTTGGAATCCCGGTTATCCCGCTAACGTAAGTGTGGGCTTCGCCACACAATGCGTACGTTCGTTGATGCGTACGTTCTTCGTTCTGTATCTGTAATTGTGTAACGTTCGTTCTTCGGCCAACGTGTTGTGCAACACGTTGGCCTTGCGTGTATGTTGAGTGTTTAGAGAGCTATATAAAGGCCCGTTTCTGCTTGCAGAGCGGGTGGTGCAGTCGAGTAGGTTTCCCATTGTATGGTATAAGTCATATAGCGTAGGCCTTTATGGGCCAGCTCCCACACTGGTAGCAGAGCGTGGTTCCGGTCTTATGTGATTTTATAAAATTTTTTTAAACCAACGGGAGCTGGCCCAAATCAATTATCTCACTTTTTATTATCATCATTCTGCCTTAATTTTCTTTCCAGTTCCATTCGAATATTATCATTCTCGATGCCTTATGAAGATACCCGGATGACTTATAAAAACACCGCCTGTTTTCTCCCTTCCGCAATGGCCCATTCACCTAGTGACCTTTCTTGATTAGTAAACCGGCCCAGTACGTGAGTGCATTAATTAGTTCTGGCCTGAACTCAAAAATTAAATATAAAATATAAATATTATTAAATTGATATTAAATTTTGCTACGATATATATGATATTAAATTTTGCTACGATCAAGCTAATGCAGTATGGACTGCTCAAAACAGCGAAATTTATTTGCATCATCTAACTCTTCTCTAGTCAAAGCGGTAATAAACTATGTATGCCCGAAATAAATATGTCTCAGTTCGCCTCTTTGAATATAAGCAGCTTGTTAAAACTTTTGCCTTCTGAAATTACATTTTTGTTTGCCCGTAGTAAATTTAGACTTGTTCATTAATTCTATGTGCCCCAAATAATCGCTTATTATAAGCTGGAACACAGATTTTGGCCAATTTTCTTCTTGCCGGCTTAAATAAAATTATCCATGGAATATGTTAAGCGCGCGAATTTATTGACTCAATGAAGTGCTTTGTCCGATTGTAAATGAGGAAATTTTCAAAATAAGCGGGTTTAAAACCTGCGATTTACATGCCATTTTTATCAATATTAACGGGAGCTTTGTGCTGTTGTCCCACTGTTAGCGAAACGCAAGGCGTGGGACCCTTGCACGTTAACAAACAACACAAATTGCGACCACAAAAATAAATCGAAATTCATGAAATCACGTGATAGTTGTGTTACAGAGAATAATTCCATTTATAGTCAATAAAATTGCTGTTATTCTTGTCAAACAGAAGATGGGCTGATTTTGATTTCCCCAAACTTTGATTTGCTGATGCTGAGTGTAATATCAGTTATTTGAAAATTTTTTATAACAGGGCGCAGAATGTAAACAATAAATCGGGCACTATTTTTAAAGACGTGGTTAATACTTTTTCTGCGAAATTTTAAATTTTGGGCAATTTGCATTACTAATTACAGTTTTAATGGGCATGACATGATCAAAATGTAGGCGTTATTTTACCCTCAGAAAATAAAACTAGAGCACATTCGATGCGACTGAGACCGTAAAATCTGTTATTACTAGCAAAATTTATGCGAGTTCGAATTTCTGTGAAATATTACATAAGCAAGCTATACTTGCTTATGTATACTTGCTTATGACATCTAACTCAAGCAATCGGGTTCATCAAACGGCCATAATTATAATTTG